GATGATTGTTCTATAATTTCATTGTAATTTTGATGTAGCTGTGAAAGGAGGCAAGTTCAGCATTTACCTACTCCACCATCTTCATCAGAAGTATATCACACCTTATTATATTTATACCTTAATACATCAATTTTCAACTGGTGTACTGTAGACACTGGTGTGCTGTAAGATTTTTTAAAACATGCAACAACTGACTGTTTAGTCAGGGGCACTGACCTCTTTTCCTTTAGATTGTCAAATTTAAAAAATGGCAACAGCCAACACAACAGTAGCTGTCCAGGGTGAATAAATAAAAATTGTACCTTTTTTTTTGTTGTTGGATTGGCAAACAAGTTTTTCAGTGTGCTGCAGAATGTTAATAATGTATATGTATGCCATGAAATAGAAAGGGTTGAAAATTACTGCATTAATATGTTGATTCTTGAGTATTTGTAAATAATATTGCATTCTATATTTGGTCTCTACCTGTTCATTGATGGTTTATATACAATATATTTTTTTGCACTACATAACTATTTTTATTTAAGCAAAGAAAGACCAAATATTTATCATCCTTCACTGAAAAGTGCTTATTTACTTTCCATTTGTATTTGTACTCTTTGATAACAAATTTTTTTTTGACTGGCAACTTTCATTTAATATGTTTCCAAGGTTCATCCACATTATAGTATGTGTCAGTACTTCATCCCTTTTTATGACTCAATGATACACCACTGTATGGATAAGACCACATTCAGTGTATTTTCTCATCTGCTGTTGGACCTTTGGGTTGTTTCCACTTTTCAGTTATTACAAATAATGCTGCTATGAACGTCTGTGTATAAATTTCTGTGCTTTCAGTCCTGAGAACTGAACCTATGTTTTCAGTTCTCTTGTGCATACAGCTGGGAATGGAATTGCCATTTCAGATGGTAACTGTTTAACCTTTTGAGTCTCCTCTGCTTTTGATGCTGACTACTTCTCTCTCAGCTTTCAGGATATCCTGTCTCTAATTCTATTTGATTCTGAAATACTGGTGGTGCTCCTCAGGGTTCTGTCCCAGGCCATCTTCCCTTGGATGGCATCTCTTCTGGCAGCTCTCACAGGCTTTAAAGTCCTGATGGCCCCACATCTGTATCCCAGACCTCTCTCCTGAGCTCCAGACCCATGCGTCCACTGCTCAGTCCATACTTCCCCTTGGAAGCCTCACCAGTACTTCACATTGCCCAAATGATCTCCCCCACAAGCCTGCTCTTGGTTCCCCATTATATGAACAGAACCAGCCAACCAACTGCGAAAAGTAGAAGCACCGTCTTCACTCTTTTCATTCCTACATCCTGTTGCTTCTTCTCCCAATGTTCCACCCTCATAGCCAGTGTCCAGGCCACCAGCATCACCTACTTGCATCACTGCAGCAGCCTCCACATCCAGCCCATCCTCTGCTGACCAAGATCTCTCCAAACACAAAGCTGTCCCCGTGTTGGTGAGAGGTTTCACTGGTTGCCCAGTGCCTGCCAAGTGAAGTCCAACCTTCAGTGTGGCTTCTAGGGACCCCAAACATCTGCTACCTTTATGCCTCTTAAGCCTCATGTCACACTCCAGAGTCTTGACTCAATTTCTTCATGTTCCTTAGATGTACCAGTCCCTCTCCCCCATCTTTTTTTAAGCTTTTTAAAAAAAATTTATTTTAATCATTGTTCAAATACAGTTTTCTCCCTTTTACTCCCAATCCAGACCCCTTCCCACCCCTCCCCCCTTCCCTCCCATTACCACCCTCCCCCTAGTTTTTGTCCATGTGTCTTTTAAGTTTGTTCCTGTGAACCCTTCCCAATGTCCCCTGAAATTCCCTCTACTCTCCCCTGTGGTCACTGTCAGCCTGACCTCTATTTCAGTGTCTTTGGTTATAGTTTGCTTGTTTCTTTGTTTTGTTGTTTAGGATCCTGTTAAAGGTGAGATCATATGGTATTTGTCTTTCACTGCCTGGCTTGTTCCGCTTAGCATAATGTTTTCCAGCTCCATCCATGCTGTTGCGAAGGGTAGGAGCTCCTTCTTTTTTTCTGCTGCATAGAATTCCATTGTGTAAACGTACCATAGTTTCTTGATCCATTCATTTACTGATGGGCATCTTGGTTGCTTCCAGCATCTAGCTATTGTAAATTGTGCTGCTATGAACATTGGGATGCATAGGTTCTTTTGGATTGGTGTTTTAGTATTCTTAAGATAGAGTCCCAGCAGTGGAATTGCAGGGTCAAAAGGCAGATCCATTTTTAGTTTTCTGAGGAAGTTCCATACTGCTTTCCATAGTGGTTGTACCAGTCTGCAGTCCCACCAACAGTGCCCTAGGGACCCCTTTTCTCCACAACCCCTCCAACACTTGTTTGTTGCTTTGTTTATGACGGCCATTCTGACTGGTATGAAGTATCTCATTGTGTTTTTAATTTGCATCTCTCTGATAGCTAGCGATATTGAATATCGTTTCATGTGTCTTTGGATTTTTTGTATGTCCTCCTTGGAGAAGTGTCAGTTCAAGTCCTTTGCCCATTTTTTAATTGGATTCCTTGTCTTCTTAGAGTGCAGTCGTGTGAGTTCTTTATATATTTTGGAGATTAAACCCTTGTCTGAGGTATCATTGGCAAATATGTTTTCCCATACAGTTGGTTCTCTTTTAATTTTGATACTGTTTTCTTTAGCTGTGCAGAAGCTTTTAATTTTGATGAGGTCCCATTTGTTTATTCTTCCCTTTATGTCCCTTGCTCTAGGGGACACGTCAGTAAGAAAGTTTCTGCGTGAAATATGAGATTTTCCTACCTACGTTCTCCTCTAGGACTTTAATGGTGTCACGTTTTATATTTGAGTCTTTTATCCACCTTGAATTTATTTTTGTATATGGTGTAAGTTGGTGCTCAAGTTTCATTTTTTTTGCACGTGGCTGTCCAGTTCTCCCAACACCATTTGTTGAAGAGGCTATTTTTACTCCATTTTATGTTGCTGCCTCCTTTGTCAAATATTAATTAACCATAGAGACTTGGGTTTATTTCTGGGCTCTCTGTTCTGTTCCATTGGTCTATGTGCCTGTTTTTATGCCAGTACCAGGCTGTTTTGATTACAGTGGACTTGTAGTATAGTTTAGTGTAGGGTATTGTGATCCCTCCTACTTTACTCTTCTTTCTCAAAATTGAAGCAGCTGTTTGGGGTCGTTTATGATTCCATATAAATTTTTGAAGTGTTTGTTCTATGTGAAATATGCCATTGGTACTTTAATAGAAATTGCATTGAATGTGTAAATTGCTTTGGGTAGTATGGACATTTTGATTATATTAATTCTTCCAATCCATGAACACGGTATATGTTTCCATTTGTTTGTGTCTTCCTTGATTTCTTTCCTGAGTGTTATGTAGTTCTCTGAATATAGGTCTTTTACTTCTTTGGTTAGGTTTATTCCTAGATATTTTATTTTTCTTTTTGCTATTTCAAATGGGGTTTTTTTCCTTGATCTCTGCTTCTGCTGTTTCATTGTTAGTGTACAGAAATGCCTTTGATTTCTGGATATTGACATTGTATACCGCTGTTTTGTCAAATTCATTTATTAGGTCAAGCAGTTTTTTGGTGGAGTCTATAGGATTTTCTATATATACTATCATGTTATCTGCAAACAGTGACCGTTTTGTTTCCTCCTTTCCAATTTGGATGCCTTTTATTTCTTTTTCTTGTCTGATTGCTGTGGCTAAAACTTCCAGTACTATATTGAATAGAAGTGGTGAAAGTGGACAGCCTTGTCTTGTTCCTGATCTTAGTGGAAAAGATTTTAATTTTTGCCCATTGAGTATGATGTTGGCTGTAGGTCTCTCATATATGGCCTTTATTATATTGAGGAATGCTCCCTCTATTACCACTTTGCTGAGTGTTTTAGCTTTTTTTATTATTGATTATACTATTACAGTTGTCCCAATTTTTCCCCCTTTACCCCCCTCCACCCTGCACCCCCAACCCTTCAGCATCCCCCACCTTAGTTCATGTCCATGGGTTGTACATGTAAGTTTTGAGTCTTCTGTTTCCTATACCTAAGAAGCTTCTTCTTCCCTGTTCCTTTCCCCCCATTCCTCCCTTCCCCCTCCCCACTGAACTCCCAACATGTGATGTCCATTTCTCTCATTCTGTTCCTGTTCTGGTTGTTTCCTTAGTTTTTGTTTTCATTGTTGTTCTTTTCTTTTAGGTTCATTTGTTGATAGTTGTGAGTTGTCATTTTACTGTTCATGTTTTTTGTCTTCTTTTTCTTAGATAAGTCCCTTTAATATTTCATATAATGGCTTGGTGATGATAAACTCCTTTAACCTGACCTTATCTGGGAATACTCCAGTTACTTTTAATGGCTATTTTAACATTTCATATCTCACTAGTGAAATTTAGTAATAGTTTCAATATCAATTGTTAAGTATCCTACATAGAAAAATAACCTACAAATAATAGCTATCACTTGAGCACTTAGCAATGCTAGGTATTGTCCTAAGTCATTTATTTCTCACAACTACCCCCTGAAGCATGGACTATTCTTATCCCCAGTTCACAGATAAGGTATGTGAAACAGGAGAGACCTGCCCAAGGCCAAAGAGCTAGTAAGGTAAGTGGCAGAGTCAAAATTCAAAACCAAATTCAAGCCTTCTAGCTCAAGTTTATGTCCTCAACCACCAGGCTATAACAGCTCTCTATTAGATACAATAATGTACATTTTCCTAAGATGAAGAACCAAAATCTGGAAGAGGAATGGATCATGAAACTTTATTGATAAGGACTTCTGTTCCAAAGATTTATTGTAATCATATTTATAGTACATAAAATATCAATACTTTCTGGATAAGAAAACAGAAACTCTGGCCGTAGTACTAATGCTAACTTACTTAAGAGAAGTTTAAGCCTCTACCTAGGCAAGAGTCCATACCTGAAGTATTCAACCAATATAAATATATGCAAAAAAGTCAATTCAACAAATTGCTTTAAAGATATGTAAGAAACCAAAAGACAGCTTTAGTGGGAGACAGATATGCACATTTTATTTAACAAACATAATATACAATGATTGAAAGAACTATTTATTCCCAGGAGAATTAAGAATGTGCATATCTGGATTAGCACCTAGAAAGTACATAGGAAAAAAAAAAGGGGGAAAGCTCTCTATGAAAATCAATTGGGCCCATGTTTCTAAGAGCAGACTCTGTGAACGAATTCTCATTGGTATTTGATAGTAACTCATTCCATTCTATTTGAACTTGGTAATCAGCTGACTCAGTGAACTACTTCATGTCTTCAGTGCTTTATGACAATGGATGTGTCAACTTCATGGATTTTATATGTAAATTTAAGGATAAAAAGCCTTACGCTTACCTTAGCTTTATTCCAAAGTGACTGCACTACGAATTTGTGGTACATGATTAGCAAGGTATATTGGGAAAGCAAAGGAAACTTTCTTTGCGTGACACGACCTTGTTCAAGATTGATGCCCTGAGAATGATGCCGTTTCACAGGCACACTGATGATGTGCAGAAATCACTGATGGGAAGGAGGATCATAAACGGCATATTCAGGTTATGAGAGGCTGCATTAGAATTAGAAGAAGTTCCACACTGACAGTGGCTGTAAAGCCTCACTGAAACGGTATCGGTTAACATTATACTGTGCATTCAATGCAGTATTCTTTGGTTCCGTCATATTAACTGCCAGGAGTACTCTCTTGCTTACAAAAGAGATCAGTGGTTAATTGAGCTCCCCCACCTGCCCCACCGGGTAACAATGTCTGAAGATGATTTTTCACTACCATGGGGGATACTCCTAGCATCTAGTGGATATGGAGACTAGAGATGTTGCTAAACATCCCATAATTCACAGGGCAGCCCCCACAACAAAAACCCTTCAGGCCCCAAATGTCAACAGTACTGAGACTCAGGAACCCCAAAAGAGGTTTATATGACATGTGTCTGGCTTGTCCACAAAGTCAGAAGTCTACTATGGAAGTGAAAGGTACCCCCTGCACTTTAGCTCTCACCAGCAGGGCCCCACTCATACCTCTGCCCTTTGACCCTGAGCAAGCTCAATAAATATTTGCTGAATGCAGAGAGGAAAGAAGTATGAGAAGCATGGATCAAAGCCTTCAATTGACTATACTGAGCAGCGATTTTATATGACTTAAGTTATCCCGAACCCCAATAGTGTCATAGTCTCTGGCTATATAGGACCTCAAAGTCAGGGTTACCATATCGTTAAAGATGGAGTCAACACTTTAAGGAGAGTATGTCTACACGCTTCAACATTCACTTTAGTGGGCAAACCAAATACAATGGTGTTAAAGGCGAACATTCAATCTACTATTTTAAACAACAAAGACAATGAACACATGAAATGCCATGCACAGCACACACCATTCCTTTTCTTTACATATTTACAATTTTATATACTTACTTATCAATATATCTTCTATCTTTACAATTATAAAATTATTTCAACTTACAGAGTAGTGGTACCATTGAATTCCCTTAAACATACATTTTTGTAGCATTCATTTGTTTTACCCTTAAAGAGGCAATTATTTACCCCAGTCTACCCCACACTGACCACCATGAGGAAGCACAGAGGGAAACCATGGAAAAAACAGGTTTAGACAGAATCTTCACACAAGCCTTAAATGAATCTATTTCAGTAACTCAAATAAATAGTACTTTATTATTTACTAAGCTTCCCCTGCCAGGAAAACAAAACAAAACAAAAACAATCCTTACAAACTGTACCTTTAAAAATTCTCTGACATTTATAAACAATTAAGTTATATTCTATAACTTGGTCAGTGGACTGTAGTAAGGGCTAGCTACAATTTAGGTTCAAATAAATACTATCCATGTGCATTTTTATCATCCTGCATAAACCTGAGGTTGCAACGGTGGAGGAAGTTTATCATTTTCAACATTTTCAGAGTCAATAGCTGCTAAAGACTGATTTGGGGGCTTAATTTCAAGTGGACATTTCTCAACAATGTCTTGAACCTTTTTTGCAATTCCATCCGTCCAATCTATTAGATCTTTTTCAAGTTTCTTGGCTTCATTCATAATCCTTTCCTGTCGTTCATTCAACTGAGACAGGAGATCCAAGTTCTTATACATTTGCTTGACACCTAAACAAGCATCAGGAGACCAATTCTCAGACTCTTGCTTTCTGGGAGAAGTCTGGCCAGACATGTATCTATCAAAATCTTCCTGACTTAAATTCAAAGACTGGGCATCTAATTTCTCAATGAAAGCCACAGCGCAGCACTACAAAAAAAAAAAAAGAGAATGTTATTTATTATAGTCATATAAGGAAAGCTACAAACATTTAAACAGATTTTTAAAAATCCTCTTACTATGGAAAATTTCAAACTGAAGCAAAAGTAGACAAAATAGTCTAATGAACTCCATGGACTTTAGTTTTAAAAACTACCAACTCATAGCCAATCACATTTCCTTTCTGGTCTCATGTGAAACAATACATTTCTTCCTTAAAAAGAAAATCTAATTGCTAACACCCATTGAACTCAACTGTCGGGAATTTAGTTCTCTGCTTAGGTTGTTCAAAGGTGCTAAGGTCTTGAACAGAGTGAAGTATTTGAGGAGGCACCTTCGGCATTTGTTCTACACTGGCTGCTACAGAGCTTCCTGCAGACAAAAACTAAACAATTCCTTGAAGCCAGAGACGCTCTGCTTCCCTGCCACGTTGCGGGGCAAAGGAACCACTGTTGCAGCTAGGAGGAGCTCCAAGGCCAAGTACTGAAGGGGGGGGGGCCCACTCTATAAAACCATTCCCGTTTTTTAAAAGTTTATTTATTTACCTAATTGTTTTTTATTATTGATTACAGTTGGCATACATGATTATACCACAGAAGTAATGCCTGCTTCAGTGTGGTTGGTAGAGTAATACTATGGGTGTAATAATTTATAGTTTTAATTTGAACATTTCACCTAAAATGTCATATGGTGGGCTTGACTGTGATATTGTTATGTTACAGAATCATGTGCTTATGATTTTGTAATAAAGGATTTTGTAATTAAAGGGGGGTAGTTATTTGTTTCGGACCCTGTATTAGCTTCAGTATACACCCAGTAATTAGACATTACATACCTATATAAGTGATTATCCTGATAAATCTCACACCCATCTGACACCATACACAGTTATTAGACTATTACTGACTATATGCCCTATGCTGTACTTTATACTTGTGACAGTTCTCTAACTGCCAATGTGCACTTCTGAACCCCTCAACCTTTTCACCCATCCCCCAACCGCCTCCCATTTGACAACCATCAAAATGTTTACTGTATCTATGATTCTGTTTCTGTTTCACTTGTTCACTTATTTTGTTTTTTAGATTCAATTGTTGACAAATATGTATTTATTGCTATTTTATTGTTCATACTTTTTATCTTCTTCTTCTTAAAGAAGACCCTTTAACATTTTATATAATACTGGTTATAAGGGTGCTCAATGAACTTAATGAAGACCTCAACAACATGAAAAAGGATCAATCAGAAATGAAGGATACACTAATTGAAATAAAGATCATTTACAGGGAATCAACAGTAGAATGGATGGAGCTGAGAATCAAATCAGTGACTTTGAACATAAGGAAGCAAAAAACACCCAATCAGAGCAGCAATAAAAAAAAAGAATACACACCATTACCTTCTGAGGTCTTGCCAGCCCACGGTGCCTACTTGGGCAGGGGCCAGACACTGGGTGTGTCCCCAGGGACCACTGTGGCACACAGATCACCAGTCCTCAAAGAGCTATTGTAATCACATGGTCAAAAGAACAAGTTTTGAAACAAGACAGTCCGAGTTGTTACCTCTGTCACTTGGTAGCCAAGAGCTGTGGGACGCTAGGAAAATTACCTAAGCTCTGTGAGATTTCCATATGAGGAAAATGGGAGAAATCCCACCCAGATTTATTCTGAGAATTAAACACCATAACACATGTAGTATGCTTCATTCATAAGCAATGAATAAGTGGCAACAATTATTATTACAGAAATACGAGGACAAGCAGTCAGTGAAAAAGGTATCTGCCAGTTATACCTTCTTATACTGATTAAACCTTTCTATAAGAAGCACGTACCATTTTCACATTTAAAACAAGTTATTTTCACAAGAAAAATGTGCACTATAAACAGGGAAATAGGCAGGTGAGAAACTCATTCACAGGATCCCACATTATTACTCATAAAAAAGCAAATCATCTCTTTAAGAAATATTCAGCAAATCTATTATAATTGATTCATCTGATGAGAATGTGTCCATCTGACCCTTCTGAATGGGTTCCAACTGTGTCTGTGGACTCACTGAAGCCCATTACCTGGAGAGAGGAGGAATCTAAGACAACCCTAACACTCTTGGTTTGGGTGAATGAATATATAACACTGCCACTAGTGGAAAGAGTGCACAGTTGACCCTTGAACAATGTAGGGTTAGGGGCACCAACCACCATGAAGTAAAAAATCCATGTATAACTTTTGAGTACCCCCAAACTTAACTACTAATAGCCTGCTGTTGACTAGATGCCTTACCCATAACATAAACAGTCGATTAACACATACGTTGTATGTTATATATATATAGCATGTACTATATTCACACAATAAAGTAAATTAGAGAAAAAATTGTATTAAGAAAATTGTAAGGAAGAGAAAATTCAGTTACAATATTTATTGCAAAAATCTGCATGTAAGTAGACCCATGCATTTCAAACCCACATTGTTCAAGGATCAACTGTATATAGAAAAGAAAAAAACCATCTGATGGGGAAGCAGTTTCAGTTTTGAACAAATTAAATCTGAGAAACAACAAGTAGCTGGAAGTGGAACTCAGTGCAAGGTCAAAACAGGTGACACAACCCTGTGGGTCATTGCTATATAGGTGACCAGCAGAGCTGTGACCAGAGAAGACAGCCTAGGCAGAGAGATGCACAGGGAACAGAACCCCTGGGAGCAACACAACTCAAGAGGAAGCAGAGGACACAAAGCCCACAGAGAGACAAGAAGGGGTGGCACTATGGAAGCCAAGGGACCTAAATTCAAGAGCAACGGAGCCATCAAGAACGTTAAAGTGAGATGAAGACTGAGAGTTCCACATGGGGTTTGGCAACTGGCAGATTTTGTACTTTTGCCAAAGCAGTTTCATGGGAGAAAGGAGAATAGAAGCTGACTGAGTCGGGCAAAAACAGGAGGAAGAGAGACAGTGCAAACATAGTAAAAGCTGTAGGTCAGGGGCCCACCGGGAAGCTGCAGAGTGTAAGTGAACCAGTAACCTCCAGTTTCAACAACAAGGGCTCCCCCAAACATCTCCTGATCTTGCTTCATTTCCTCCTACTACCTTGTCTCTCCAGGCTTCTCAGGATTTCCAGATTGTCTAATCCTCTCTAGATAACAGCTGAGTCCAAAAGGCTCTTTTCTAGTAATCAAGTGTATATTTTACTTATGTTAAGAAATAAGAGTGCTCCAAATAATGGTGCAAGCATCCATTTGGAAAAAGCATTCCTAAGTCCCTCCGCCTGCAAACCACACTCCCCAGGTGCGGGTGGCGGGGCACAATGGCTGAGGGTGATGAGTAACAAGAGCAGGCCCAGGTTTTAAGGGACCTGAAGCTCATATGCTTTTGGAAACCCACTTAAAAGGGAAAAAGAAGACAAACAAAATTAGGCACAAAAGTGAATACATATTTAGGATGTACAGATAAATCACAACAAATTTCTGGAGACTTGGAGATTCGAGTACCTGTCTTTTTAGACAATGTACCAGAAGCAATTCTGTACACCCCCCAGCTTCCTCTCCCATCACCCTGAACAACGTCCAGTACAGGACACAAACACATGAGGTGTTTGAGGCTCAAATTCATTGGCTTGAAGGTAAATCTAGTCTAAGCAAACATGCAGTGTAGCGGTCAGCAAAGAGAAGTATTTGGCCTTATAATTTAGATATATATATATATATATTTTACTATTGCCTTGTCTAGAATCAATTAGTACTGTAGCAAAACAATAGTTGAAAATAATTTCACACCCACTAAACTGGCCTTTTAAAAATATCTAAATATCTCAGTATTTACTTCTAGGAGGTACCTTGTAGAAATAAATGTTAAATCTTTTAATAAAATGAATCAAAGTTCAGGATCTGACTTATTCATGGTTGAAACAACCCACTTAGTTTATTGGCTCTGACACCCAGGGCCCTGCAGAGCGATGGCCAACAGCAGCAGAGTCCCTCCGTGTGGCTGTCATGTTTCCCGTAAGAGTGCCATGGTCTCTGGTCAAGTGCTGGGAGGTGGGGTGTCTGCACGGCCTGGTCACATGTGCTCTGTGACACCAAGCAAGCACCTGCAGTTATGCTGACTCCGCAACTCAGGAGTGTTAACCTGTCATGGCCTGTGAGTGACCCATCATATCCCTAAAATAATTACCTTCATGATCCTTCTACACAACACCAAAAAATACTTACCAGATTGGTGAAATAGTAGCCATCCTCCCCAGTCATCAATCGGCTTGGGTTGCAGAAGCGGGTGATATACTGAATATTAGATTGAAGGCGCGGGGGGTTACCCTTCAGCACAATGTAGATGAGAGTGGGTAGGAAGTCATCGGCTGAGGCCGGCTCATTCTTGGTGATCTTGATGGCGTTGAAGATGTGCTTGCTGCACTTGGTGATGCAGGCCAGCTTATCTCTAGGCACACGCTTCGAATCCATTTCAATAATATCTATAAAACAGAAAAGACACTGCTTCCAATGAGAAAATAATTACGCAAAAGATGCATTAGAAAAACCACTTTTTCCTATTAAGTTGCAGGGGTAACCTTGCTAAGCCCCCTCCACCAGTTAATGTAGTGCATAAAAAACTCAGATCGCAAAAACAGTACATACCAGCTCAAAGAACTCATGACCATGAGTCAAACTACTTATAAGTTCCATAGAGAAATAAAGAATCTCTTTACTGCTTCTTAATACACTGTAAAACTCAGTTTAGAAATCCTCAATTTGCACACTGATTTTTAGCAATGTGGCTACTATACAAGTCATCTTTGTACTGGATATAAAAATACAGCTGCTGAATGAAACCCATCACACCTCTGTGGCCAATCCTTACAGCATGGAAATCTCCACTAGCAGAGAGGATAAAGCAAGGGTATAAATTTAGTCTGATAAACATTTTATTTACCAGAAAAAAATTATTTCACTGCTCTTCACTGCCACTAAGTCCAACTGCTGGGCCCTCACATGTACACATTACTGTCACAAGGACCAGGAGGTGGTGAGGAAAAGCTGGGTACAAGCTCAGTGCCAGAACAATGAAAGCAAGGGGGAGGGAATGTGCCTTTGGAGGCACATTTATGCTTGCCACCTGGAATATGGTCAAAGAAAATAGCTGGGGCAGCTGAACTTGACAGCAATTCTTGCCATGAGCAGGAATAAATGTTTCTGATTTAGGTGATAGGGTGGTATGGGTCAGTTCCTATCCCTGAGGTAAGGTACCCGAGGACCCTTACAGGACCACCAGCTACATGTGAGGGACAGAAACAGTGGGCAGTGCAGAAACCTTATTTTAACTCACTAAGGCTTTTACTCCCTCTACTATTTTGTGAATTATATAATCTTCACTTATTTTATTATTTAGTTCCTTTAATTTTTTATTTCTGGATTGTAATTATTGTTACTATGTCTCAGTCTATTTTTCTTTTTTTTTTAAATTTTATTTATTTATTTTTAGAGAGGGAAGGGAGGGAGATAGAGATAGAGATAGAGAGAGAGAGAGAGAGAGAAACAACAATGTGCGGTTGCTGGGGGCCATGGCCTGCAACCCAGGCATGTACCCTGGCTGGGAATCGAACCTGCAACACTTTGGTTCGCAGCCTATTTTTCTTTTTTTAAAATGTATTTTATTATGCTATTACAGACGTCCCATTTTTTTCTCCCCTTTATTCCACTTTACCCTGTACCGCCCCACCTACAAACATTCCCATCCCCTTGGTTCATGTCCATGGGTCGTACAAATAACTTCTTTCGCTTCTCCATTTCCTATACTACTTTTAACCTCCCCCCATCTATTTTGCATCTACCATTTATGCTTCTTATTCCATGTACCTTTTCCCCCATTCCCCCTCCCCAACTGATATCCCTCCACGTGATCTCCATTTCTGTGATTCCCTTCCTGTTCTAATTGTTTACTTTGTTTTTGTTTTTTTAGGTTCACTTGTCGATAGGTGTGAGTTTGTTGTCATTTTAATGTTCCTAGTTTTGATCTTTTTTTTCTTAGATAATTCCTTTTAAGATTTCATATAATAAGGGTTTGGTGATGATGAATTCCTTTAACTTGACCTTATCTGGGAAGCTCTTTATCTGCCCTTCCATTCTAAATGATAGCTTTGCTGGACGGAGTAATCTTGGATGTAGGTCCTTGCTTTTTCAAGACTTCAAATACTTCTTTCTACCCCTTCCTGCCTGCAAGGTTTCTTTTGAGAAGTCAGCTGCTAGTGTTATAGGAACTCCTTTGTAGGCAACTATCTCCTTTTCTGGTGTTGCTTTTAAGATTCTCTCCTTATCTTTAATCTTGGCTAGTGTAATTATGATGTACCTTGGTGTGTGCTTCCTTGGGACTCTAAGATTCCTGGACTCCTGGAAGTCTATTACCTTTGCCAGATTGGGGAAGTTCTCCATGATTTTTTCAAATAAGTTTTCAATTTCTTGCTCTCCTCTCCCTATTCTCCTTCTGGCACCCCTATGATTCAGACGTTGTAATGTTTAAAGTTGTCCCAGAGGTTCCTAAGCCTCTCTTCATTTTTTTTGAATTTTTGTTTCTTTATTCTGTTTTGGTTGAATGTTTATTTCTTCCTTCTGCTCCAGATCAATGATCTGAGTCTCGGTTTCCTTCCCTTCACTACTGGTTCCCCGTACATTTTTATTTCACTTTGCATAGCCTTCATTTTTTCCTCTATTTTGTGACCATACTAAACCATTTCTGTGAGCATCCTGATTACCAGTGTTTTGCACTCTGAATGTGATATGTTGGCTATCTCTTCCTCACTTAGTGCTCTTTTTGGAGCTTTGATCTGTTCTTTCATTTGAGCCATATTTTTTTTTTTGTCTTGGCACAGCCGTTATGTAGTAAGAGGTGGAGCCTTAGGTATTTGCCAGAGCAGGGCAACATGCATCACTGCGCTGTGGCTCTGTACATTGGGGAGGGGTCTGAGGGGAACAATGCCGCTTGCTCTGCCCTCAGTCAGCTTTCAGTCACTTCCCCTGCTATCCACAAGCAAATTGGGCCCTTCTGGTGCTGATTCCTGGTTTGGTGGGCTTGTGTACATTCTAGGTCCCTGTGGCTCTCCAACAAATTCTCCTGTGAATCTGGGAGTATCTTCTGCCTCTGCAACCCCCACAGATTTTTTCAGTCAGACGTTTTGAGGCTTTATTTCCCTGTGTTAGAAGCCTGGGTTGTGCAGTCTGTCTGGCTGCCCCGTTGTTTCTCCCAGTTTATCTGCACACAAATGTGGGAATGCCTGGTCCTCCAGCTACCGCCTTGCCACACGTCCTCTCCACCTGCTGCTGTCCATCTCTGCGCCTCCTACCAGTCTGCATGAATGTTTCTTCTTTAACTCTTTGGTTGTTGACTTCCATGCAGTTTGATTTTCTGGCAGTTGTGGTTATTTTTTGTTTTTAAATTTGTTGCTGCCCTTCTTTTTGGTTGTGCAAGGAGGCAGAGTGTATCTACCTACACCGCCATCTCGGCCAGTATTTTTCTTTTTCTATTTAGAAGTTACTACAAAAAAGATACTGGGGAAGATTTTATTTTTACCATTTTTTTCCACTTTCATCTACCCTACTTAGCCTTTTATTGTTGATTTTAATTCAACAATAAAATCATGATGTTTACTGTCTATTTTAAACATTTTCTTGTTTATGTTTTAAAGTAAATAAACAATAAATTATTTTTTTATCTGTATGTATGTGTAGCTTCCACTGCCAAGGGCCAGGGCCAGGAGTACAGAGAGGAAGAGATCAGAAGGGGAAAAATCCCCCAAATCCAAGGAATTTCCCTGAGACTCTTTCTCCTGCAGCAACTCTTCCACTTCCTTCCTAAATATCCTTCAGCCTGAAAGGAACTTTCCTGTTGCAACTCTTTTGGACCCACACAGCCCGGCATGCACTTCCACAATCTGCACTGACCTGAAGTCTAACCTGGGAGATACGAGAAGAAAAACAAAACAGGAAACTCACCATTAATTTATCTTCTATTAAAGATCTCCCTCCCCAATCTGCCTGCTACTACCGGGTTTGCTTTTCAGAGTTCTCAGACAATTGTTTTGTCTGCTGGCCAAGGATTTTACTTGTAATGAGTAGGAATGATCAGGTTGAGTGTGGCTGCTCTATCTTAGCAGATATCCAGACTTATTTTTAATGGAGTTTTGAAACAAAGTAACCTGTGCTTCTAGGTTATGTTTTCTCAGCCTGGGCACTGCTGACATTTGGGGGTGGAAAGCTCTAGCTGTAGGGCTGTCCTGTGCACTGCAGGATGTTTAGCAGGCTTCTGGCCTCCGCCCTCTAGACGCCAGTGTCCACTAAAACGGAAAGGCCTCATGCAGTGTTTGTAAACCAAACTGACAGTGCAGATTAGCAGCACAAGGGACAACTTGGAGATATTTAACTGGTTTCTCCATATTTAAGACAGTTACTTTTATTACAAAAGATGGTTATTATAGACTGTCCTCTCTAAATACTCCTGTGCTTAGGCTGACAATTTTTAATTAGGAAGAAAGTGATCATATAACCTTTGGTCCTCACAGAGGCAGAGTATTTCTGCACCTGGATTGGCAAAATATCAAATCCAAAAAATGAGAAAAAGTGAAAAGGTTTTTACAATTTTGTGGCTACATTTTTACTATTAAAACGATCTCTTGAAACTCCATGTCCACTGCCTTGAGAGAAAAGTTTTACCTTTCAAATTCTATTAACAAACTGCTTATGTATTGAAATCCTCTTTCTTAGTCCTGTTTTTAAGTAAACAACAGTTGGGTACTTGTAGTTTCTGGTTTTGCAAGGTCTGTCTGTCCTGTGGCTTTTCAGAAAAGGGTTCTCAACATAAATTCCTGCAGAGTATTTACACATAAACCAGTTGGTCCTGAACTTGATAAAAGAGTAAAAGGTCGACATCCGGGGTTTGAGAGGTTGTCACCTTCAATCTCTTATAATGTTCCCTGAGCAAAAAGTAGGGGTGGGGGTGGGCCTTGATCCAAAGAACTCAATTCATTGACCGTATGACACAACCTGGCAGAAGAAGCTTTGAACAACAAAGATGACATTATTTAGGTATGCCAATTAGACTGTACATGGGAAATTTAAGGCAGTAATTCATTTAATAACAGGAGTTGAAATGCAAAAATATACAAAGAGAAGCAGAATCTGAGAAAGCGGAAAAAAATCACATTAACAGCAGATAACCCAGTGTCCAGAGAGGCCGTGGAGCTATTTCAGTGAATCCTGTCTTGCCTTCAACCCCAACAGTATTGTAAGCAAATCCCCATTTCTTCCTGTTACTTGAGTGACTCTGAGTCTTATAATGAAATTAACCTACTTAATAGCCTGCCTCCAATACTGCTACTATCAGCTGGCCCACTTCCCTTCCCAGCAGAATTTCATTAACAATCTCTACCTAAATGAGTGAGTCTTTCCAACTCTTCTTAATGGAGAAGAAGTTGGCCAGGGTTAGATGTCTTCTCCATTAGGAGTTCTTTTTGTTTCTTTCTTGCTTTTGTTTTTTAAGTGTTTGTGTTGCACTTCTGCTGGATTATTCCTATGAATAAGAAAAACCTTATTAGGTGCCTGGATCTGTCCAGAAGGACAGAGCCACATCAATTTAGGGCACTTCATATATTTCCTGAACATACCAGAAAAATAACTCAAAGCTCATCTCTGACTAAAAACCAATTAGAGGCAACCGATCTGGCTTGGGGATTACCTTGCCTCACCAATTCCCTCCCTCTCTCCAACCTTATTTTGAATATGTAAATGCAACTGAGTTTTAAGAAATTTACCAGAGTTATATTTGATCTTACTTTAGTTCAATATCCAAGGAACAAGAGATCTGTGTCATAAAAAATGAAGAAAAAAAGTAGCTTATCTGTTAATCAGAATGCTTTAAATTCATAAAAATCTTGCAAATCACTTTCACCACATTCCAATATATCTTTGGTAGTCAGTATTTCAGAAATACTTTACTATCTTTTTGCTCTCTGAAATAAGTATGGGTTTATAAAACATAATGTTAAAGGGAAAAACATCCAAATACAATGTTCTCAGTTTCACTGACCTGTAATTGCTTTCACCACCATATCAGACACTTCAGGAATTTCTTCATTAACAGGGACACAAAGCATCTGAGGTGTAACCCAGTGAAGGGCTCTGCAGAGAGAAGGACAGTAAAAAAGACTTCGTAGAATGGACTGTGGTCATTTATCTTGTCATTTCTTTCAGTTATGGGAAAATAAGGGACACTGACTAATCAGACAATCCTAGGCTCAAGCATATCACCCCTGCACATATTAGGAGCTCAGAGGACGTGCCAAAGTAACGAGAATCCTAAAATGAGGCTTCTCTTCTGTACTCATCACTAGAAAAGCATAAGGCAGTTTTACGGGTTATACTAAGTCTGAAAAGCCCTCCATATTTGAGAATGAAGATTTGAGAAGAACTTGCTGTTAGGTAGGAGCTAGGAATAAGTGGCCCAAGGGGAAATAAAGGCAGGGCCCTCGCCATTACAATCTAACAAAGGAGGAGGCTAGAAGCAGTAGGAAAATGTGTCTCATCAATTAACTCAGTAGTCCTGAGCTCGGGTTGGTAAGATTGCCAGGTGTCCCAAGCATTGCAAGCAAAATAGCACAGGAGGAGAAGAGAGTCCTTGAGACTGCTGAGAAAAGGGGCTTCTGGAACAATCTTTCTAAGATTGCCAGGTGTTCTGAACATCACAAGTAGGAGCTGCACAGGAGGAAGAGTGGGGCCTGTGCTGGGAAACGGGGCCTCTGCAATGATTTCACTAAGATAAAGGAGCTTTACTGAGAAAGAAAGCCTTTGTAGCCGTGCATTATTCCCACAGGGAAGAAGTGGGGGAGCCTAGAAACCAGCTGAGGTACATAACCCCTGAGCCCCAACAGCTGGCATGCTTAGATAGCTAAGTACCCACGTGCAGCCTCAGGTCAAATGTATGGGCAAACTTGTTAACAAACTTACTAAAAGACTCACTAACAAATTTATGGGTGCCCGCCTGCAGATTTGTGCTCGCCTGTGTTTCATAAACAAACTTGCTATCTCGTTTCCACCATATATGTTTGTGTATAGTTTGAACTATTCTCTTGAAGCAAGACAAGAATGGAGGCAGCAGGAGAAGGCCTCTTGACTCGGGTGTCTCTCTCCCCATCCTAACACTGTTGCTCCCCGTCCTTGTTGTCCACCACCATTACTGTCCCTTCAGGCTCTGCCCTCAACTTCTGAAGCCTACCACAGCTTGTGTAACAGGCCAACAAGCATGTGTCACCTCATTTTGCATCACTGATCACATCGTTAATTCATTCCTGAGATTCTGCTGCCTATGCTCACCATGTGGTTACTGCTCGCAGCCTGCGTCTCAGCCCAAAGCCCATCTAGTTACGTCTGTTGTATCTTCCATCTTCCCCAGATCACCTTCTCCCTTCTAGTGTGACACCAGAGAGTACTGCCAATCGCCAGCCCCATTGTCTGGAAACCCCATGTGAAATTCGTGGGCCCCTCTCCTTGGGAAACACCTCCTCATGCTCAGCCTTTGTGTGGTTCCCAAATCCAATTGTCTATTTTTAAGTGCTTCACTGCCACTGGAATGCAGAGCACTGAGGCTCACCCCACTGGCAGTGAAAGATTGGGCATTCTGCAAACTACCGTCAACCCAGTGCTGGTGGAAAGATGTGACTGGAGGAATGGCTGAACAATGAGCACCCCTGGTAGAGATGAGGAAAAGTGACCCCCAGTGCCTTGATGTGGATATTTACAGCTTCCTGCCTGACAAGATAGGTAGTACAATGAAATGGGAGAATAATGAAATTCCCTCCTTAGAAAATTTGGAGTTTTTAAGCAATCTGAAACATCAAAAGTGATTCTTACCTAAAGCTGCTTGGAGTCAGATGGATAAGCAGGATGGTGATTTGAGCTCTTTCCTCCTATCGATGCCCCATATTCCTTTTCTCTCTGACACCACAAAGCAGCTTACATGCTAAGAATGGAGGGCACCCTGGCTGTTACTTGCTTTCAAAGTCTGAAATTCAAGTGCCCTGTTTTCCTAGAATGTGTTCTCCCAAGAGGTGGCAGTAAATACAGTAATAAGTTAAGTCCTTCCTGATTCAGTTTCACTTTCCAAAGTTTCAGTTACCCATGGTGAACTGTGATCCAAGAAAACTAAATGGAAAATTCCAGAAATAATTCACAAGTTTTAAACTGCTGTTCTGAGTAGTGTGATGAAACCTCGAACTGCTCCATCCGAGGTGTGAATCGTCCCTTTGTCCATTGTACCCACACTGTGTGCTCTGCCCACCCATTAGTCACTGAGTGTGGTCACTATGCAGGTGTGCCGGTGATCAGATTGACTGTTACAGCATCGCAGTGCTTGTGTTCAAGTCACCCTTATTTTACTTAATAATGGCCTCAGTGCCCAAGAGCAGTGATGCTGGCAATTCGGAAATGCCTAAGAGAAGCCATAAAGCTCTTCCTTTAAGTGAAAAGGTGGAAGTTCTCAACTTAGTAAAATATATTGGGACAGAGAAAAACCCCATTCACCTAACTTTTATTATAGTACATTGTTATAATTGTTATTTTATTAGTTATCCTTATTAATCTCTTATGGTACCTAATTTATATATTAAACTTTACCATAGGTGTAGGTGTACAGGAAGAAAACGTATATATAGAGTTTGGAACTATCTGCAGCTTCAGGCATCACTTGGGGTCTCAGAACAAATCCCTGCACAGAAGCGGGGATGACTTTACAACAAGACAAAGCCAAACAATCAACTACCTGATCCTCTTTTGAATGGCGAGGTCTTTCTTCTCATCATCAGTAGTTTCTGGACAGAACACGTACTTGTAGAGACGAGTCATGATGTACTTTTCAATCTGATCCATTATCTTCTCAACTCTTTCTGGAGACACTGAAATATCCACATGAATATAAAAGCTCAAGATGAGGATGAACATTTAAAATTAACTTTAAAATTATGAAATTAAAATTATTATTTTCATAGTACTTTCTATATAGAAGAAAACTACTGTGCTAAAAATTTATTAAGCACACCTCAAAAGACAAGTATTGTATAAGATGTCACTTTAAAAAATACCTTTAAAAAATTACCTTACCTTTAAGACTCCCTTTTACAGAATCCCCACTTCTACTTACCTGGTTTGGCAGGACCTGACAGGTGACAGGTCTTCTAACACCTAAGTGAGAAGGCCTCAGCACGGGTCACTCTCTATTGTTTGTGGTTTGACCAAAAAGCCTGTTATGTTTTTCTTTGTAAAATGAAAGACACGTTTTTAATTTTCACCAGTCACTTTATTAATTTGGATATTTTCAGTATATCGGATAACTCCCATCCACTATTGGCTTCTAGTGGGTACAGGTCAGGGGTCCTGCTAAACATCTTCCAATGCATAAGACAGCCCCACAGCAAAGAATTATTTGGCCAAAATGTCAGCAGTACCAAGAAACTTTGCAAACTACTTTTGACATGTTCAGTCAGTCACAGCACCTTCTCCAATACACTGCACAAATCTTTTTTAGCATTTAAAGTTGTGTTTTTGCCTTTCTTGAAATAAAGTATAATAAACGGAAAATGCTGCGTATCTTCTTTCATCTTCAATATTAAAAAAAAATGGCTGCACATAGATTTACCAATTTCGATGTTTTATTTTAAATGCACACTGATATGACAGCCATCACAATAGAATCTAACAAAATTGTTTCAAATGACGTTAAAGACAACTAAGCACTATTAGAGCCATCATACAGAAAAAATGTAACAGACTCTTTGGACAGCCCAATACATTAGAAAAACACTTGAAATTCCCAGGACTGATAAATGCTGGCAAGACTCGCCCTTTACTATAAAACCTTAGAGATCTCTTCAAAGTACATATATGGGGCAGATTTCTCAGGTACACATGTATGTTAAGTACATCCTCAAGTCTAGCACCAAAGGAAGTCAAATTCAAGAAGAATGCCTAAAAACCTAAAGGTGTAAATCAAAGGTTCTCAATTTTCTTCCTTCCCTAACCCATAAGGAATATATTAATCATGAACAAAACACTCACCAAGATGGTAATTCCAAAGTTGGGGCTTCAATTAGAAGCCTCCCAAAGAGTTTTAATTGACTGCCTCAACTCCTAATGAAGTTATTAAACATTACTCAATAAATTATCCAATCACTCTTATTATTTTGAAACAATATACATGGTGGTATTCAAAGGCATTGCTAAGTACCGGACCAGCTACCGAAATGCTGGAGTAGTTTATGGGATGGGGTGGGTACAGCAGCCAGGCCTTCAGAGACTCAGCAGCCTGGCCCTGTGCAACCACCAGCAACCCCTCAGTTTGGGGTGGCTAACAAAGTATTACCTTTCCCTCGAGTTTGCATTCTTTCAGCCACATTCTGGTAAAAATCCTGAGTACACTCTGATTGTTCCTCAATGCTTAAATCCTGAAACAAAGGGGACAGAGAAGCTGATTGGTAGCTGAAGCATGATCAGGAATAAAGCTTTAAATTCCACAAAGTCACCAAAACCCACTCCTTAAACTGGTACTAATCTCAAAAAGTACTTACAAGTTCTTAGCAAAGCCTTTTCATAAATACTAATTACAATACCCATGCTCTCATTTCTTTGTACTGTATATACATATTCTTGAATGGATATAATGCATATTTTGATAACTTACATGTTTATGTACATTTCTATTTATCTAATCTACTTAGCTATTTTGATGGCTTTATAATATTCCATTATATGAGAATATTAACCAATTTTTAAAACCATCCTTTACCACTGTGCATTTGGGTTCCTTCCCTTTTTCCACTATTATGTATTATAGCTATAAATTATTAAGTGAAAACTGTTTCTTTTGGGTTATTTCTTTGTGATACATTTTCAAAAGTGGCACTAATAGTACTTTATAGCCTCGAATATCTCTTGCTAGATACAATGCTGAGAAACCACTACGTACAGTCCTATGTGTGCTTATTTCTCCATGGTCCCTACAACATTTGGCTTTATAGTTTTTATTTGGTTTCACTTATCTTTAGGTGTAAATACATATATTTATTTCCCACTTTCTTCCAAAGAATATGTGACATCTACATAAAAGATAAACACAGTTCAGCGCAATAAACTAGAAGGAGATAAAAAAGAAAAAACATGAAAAAAAAAAGTAGAGCCAGAATATATAGGTAAACAAGGCTCAGCTCCTCACACAACCACATCAAAATTACAACTAAATTATAGAACAACCATCACTCAGAATACCAGAAATCAAGTTGAATGGAAGTCCGACAACTAAAAACTTTAAGAAATCACATCCATCCAGACTGGTCTGAGGGGTAGAGATGCTGAACAGGCCAGACTCCCATCCACGTGTGGTGGATAAAAGTTCAGGAGGGATATCTTGGGAGTGAGGAGTCCCAGCCTCACATCAGGTCCCCCAGAGCTCAGGGTTCCAGTGACAGGAATATAAGACCACATAACTTCTGGCTGCAATAACCAGCCCAGATTGAGTGAGTGGAAGAAATAGCTCCAGTCCCAAGTAGTTCGTCTTAAATAACTCACACACAGACTCACCTACTCAGACTCACTCCCTCTGAATTCAAGCACTGGGGTAGCAGCTTGAAAGGTACCAGAAGCATACAGGGAGAATCTGAAGTGTCTGTCATCAAGGTGAGCAGAGGCCATTGTTCCTTTTCTGAACCCTCCTCCCACAGAGCCATAGAGCCAGTAGGCTGGTGCCATATCTGAGACTTCATCAACCTAACACAGTTTGCCCCACCCTGGAGATACCCTGAAACTCCCTCCTACCCAACTTACAGCTGTTAACAGTGGCTTTTCCACATGAATGGCTGGTCTTGGCTCAACTTCACAACTTCCTAAATCTTTTTGAACAAGGAACAGTTGGCCTCAGTGAGCCCCCAGTCCCCTGTACCTCTTGCTAAGTGGCCCCAGGCACGGCACTAGTAGCAGCCAGCCTAGATTCACAGCTTGGCTTCACCTAGGAATCTCCAAGCCCAGCAGAAGTAGCAGCCATTTCAGATTGCTTTATAGCTCAGGCAGGATGCCCTAGGCAAAAACCAATTGCTGACCTTGGCCTGCACCACCGAAGAAACCCCAGAGTCTGTGCACCCAGTGGACAACTACAGACCAGGTCAGAGCACCACCACCCTGCCCCTGCACACAGCTGATCCTCCACACAAGGCAGAGAGGTTGGTGGTCAGTGGTCAGAGCCAATCCTTGCATCTGACTGGCCTGGGTAAATCCCTCCCATTGACCTGCCAACAGCAACCAAGGCTCAACCGAGGAGGGTATATTCAGCCCACACAAAGGGCACATCTCAAGTACCCAGCTTGGGTGATATGGAAGTTGTGCCACTGGACTCTATAGGACAGCTACTATATTAGGCCAAGCTACCAAGACAGGGAATCATAGCAGTTCTACTTAATACATAGAAACAAACACAGGGAGGCTGCCAAAATGAGGAGACAAAGAAACATGGCCCCAAAACAGAGCAAAACTCCAGGAAAAGAGCTAAATGAAATGGAGATAAGCAATCTTTTAGATGCAGAGCTCAAAACACTGGTTATAAGGATACTCAAGGAACTTAAGGGGGATCTCAACAGCATAAAAAAGATCCAGTCAGAAATGGAAGATGCACTAATTGAAATAAAGAACAATTTACTGGGAAACAACAATAAACTGGAGGAAGCCAAGAGTCAAATCAATGATTTGGAACATAAGGAAACAAAAACAACCAAGCAGAATAATAAGAAGGAAAAAGACTAAAAAAGTAGGGATAGTGTAAGCAGCCTCTGGGAGAACTTCAAGCATTCCTACAATCTCATCATAGGGGTGCCAGAAGGAAAACAGAAAGAGCAAGAAATTGACAATCTATTTGAAAAAATAGAAAGAACACTTCCCTAATTTGGTGAAGAAAATAGACATGCAAGTCCAGGAAGCATAAAGAGTCCCAAACAAAGGGAATCTCCAAAAGGGATGCAAAGAGGCCCACTCCAAGATACATAATAATTAAAATGTCAAACGTTAAAGATAAACAGAGAATCTTAAAAGCAGCGATAGAAAAGCAATTAGTTACCTACAGGGAGATTCCCATAAGACTGTTAGAAGATTTCTCAAAAGAAACTTTGCAGGCTAGAAGGTATTGGCAAGACATATTCAAAGTCATGAAAAGCAGGTACCTACAGCCAATATTGTTCTACCCAGCAAAGCTATCATTTAGAATCGAAGGGCAGATAAAGAGTTTCCCAGGAACCAGAAAACTGAAGAAAGTTCATCATCACCAAACCATTACTACATGAAATGTTAAAGGGACTTATTTAAGAAAGAGAAGGTCAACACTATGAACAATAAAATGGAAATAAATATGTATTTATTAACAACTGAATCTGAAAAAAACTAAGCAAACAAGGACAGAGACAGAATAATGGTTACAGAGAGTTTTTGATGGCTGTCAGATGGGAGGGGGGTGTAGGAAAATGGGTGAGGAGGTGAGGGGATTAAGAAGTACAAATACTTAGTTATAGAATAGCCATGGGGATGTACCATACAGTATAGGAAAAGGGGTGGCCAAAAAGAACTTATACGCCTGGCCCATGGACATGAACAACAGTGAGGGGATTGCCCGAGGGACTGGCAGGTGCTGGATGGAGGGGGGCAAAGAGGGAAAAATTGAGACAATTGTAATAGCATAATCAATAAAATATAATTTAAAAAAATGTAGAACCAGGAATGGTAACACAAAAATGTATTCCTTGAAGATACAAGAGTTGGTCAATAGTCAATCCATAAATGTCTCTAACTAAACTTGCTAGCAATCCCCACTACGATGAAAAAAGTCACATAAGTAAGAGCCCAAATACAAAAAAGGAAACATTCTTTAGGTGGAATTGTGACACCAAAGTCAGAAACTTCTCCCAGGCATTCTCATAAAGATGTTACTGTAGAAAGACAAATCCCATAGGACTGTTTTTCACAGACTGCCTCTGCACAGGCCAATGCCATACAAGGTTGCCCACAAAGTACCCAGCCATGTGATATGAAAAATAGAGACATTTATTTAAGATATAAGATACAAGAAATACTGTACATAGGACAGTATTAGTCCCCCTTAGTCCCCCTTCAAAGTAGGTACCCTGGGACCTCACCCTTGCCCAATCTCCATTAGCTACCCCGTCTTATTTTCCTGAATCTCACTGATGGTCTGAAATCTCTTCCTTTTCAAAGGTGATTTTAGTTTTGGAGAAGCCAGAAGTCACAGGGCACCAAATCTGGGCTGTAGCAGGCCTGAGTCACCTGGCTGATTTGATGTTTTGCCAAAAGGCTCTGCATGAGACATGAAGCAGGAGCAGGAGTGTTGTCGTGATGAAGCTGCCAGTCACCAGTTGTCCAAGGCTGTGGCCTTATGAATCACTGGAATAGTTTCCATGGAGAAATGTTCAAGCTTAACACAAAATCTGATGCAGATTCATTGCTCTACTCACTCAGTCATTTTGAATGAGACAGCCACACAGTACACATACTCACTCAACAGCATCTACCACACCCACTGACCAGTGCAGTGAAGTCATCATTGTTCACATATGCACATTCCAGTCCACTCTCCTTGGCTACCAGGTTATGCTGATGTCTTGGAAACTGTTCTCATTATATTAACAGTGGCTGAACTGTTTCAGGACAGACCTCATATACCAAGGGCTAATAAAGCCCTGGTAAAGCATAAGACCCTACACTCTGGCCTCATTCAGAAAGGATGTCCTGGTATCAGAGGCAGTGACAAACCTCGTCTTATCTGCCTTTACAATGTCTCCCCCTTCCATTCTCTCCTAGTTTGGGCCTTCATGGCCTCTCACCTATTTAGCTGCTCTCCCCACCTTTGATCTCTCTCACTTTCAACCCATCTTTTACACACTACAGTCCAGCTGATCATGCACCCCTAAATTCGATTGCCTGGAACCTCCAACAGTGGTCCATAGATGGAGGCTGTCTTCAAAAGCTGTCCAAAAAGTCAATAGTTACCACCATTTAGGCTCAGTTCATATCTTATCTCCTCTAAGAAGCTGTCTCTCATTCCCTCAGTCTGAAAAAACCGTGTAGGGCTCACGGCACTTATAGCACTCTGTGACCACCTTTGACAACAGCTCTCGTTACTTTACCAGCTATTTATGTAAGAGCCACTGGTTGATGTAGAAAACTAAAATGCATGTAACAAGTTTACTTCTGTTATATGAAGGTGGAGTATTTAAGGAACATAATTTTAATAAACACTTTTTATAATGATAAGAACTTTTAAGAAAAGTATTTGGGTATCACTTTTCTAGGTTAATAATCTATAAGCAATAAAGTACAAAAAGGAATGCCTGAAAACCTAATAAAATTAGCTTATCCAAAAAAAAAAAAAAAAGAATTGATGCTTTGTCTGGTA